AAACAGGATTTTGTTTCGAAGCACATACTTTCGCCACAGAGGGTAGCGCGTCCCGCGATGACTAAAAATGGCGGCTTTGTCTCTACCGCATTTACGGCAAAAAAAAAGAGTGAAGCCATAAACTTGTTGTCATTCCCGAGTCGCCCGAAAACAATAACATATATAGATAGCTGCAAGGGTTTACTTTTGGGAAATGAATATGTTTAAAGCACGTCAAGGTACTCTTAGAACCGCATATAATTTTGTATTAATTTCAATACAACAAATCTATTAGAAGCCTATCGGTTGTCTTTTGATTTTTTTTAACAAATGTATTTACCGGAAAAGGTTTGCACTGAATTACGACTCTATGTGTCTTGTCATGCTCGAAACAAATTAGTGCATGTGCACTACAGTTTAATGTTTACGGCTCATTGGCTTAGCGCCGATCCCTGATAGATTTTCCCTTTCGTGTCAAATGTTTTCGTTTTGTGTGCATTTGTTAATGTTTGAAAAAATGTCGCACCCGATGTGCGGCCCCGTGTAGCCCAATTAGCTTATGTGATATGAATGCGCAAGGTCTCAATTTTGGAATTTTGTGCGCGCGACGTCCAATGATTTTTAATTTGGGAATACTTTACGTAGTTCTCCCGTACTGCGCCTGGAGCTTGGGAAAATTATCGCGCCAACGTCAATGATGACGAAATTGGGCTGGCACGAACGGGAAAACGTTCTGAGACCAGCGGGGGTTACTTCTACTGACCATTCGTGGAAACTTTTTCCTACAGGTTCTGACTAACGGTGGAATCCGACTGATGAAACTGTCAAATGTAACTTAGAGAAACGGTTGTTACTGTAGATGGTTGTTACTGTACAGACTATACTGGATTGTGCCTTAGAGGGTACAACACCCTAGTCTATATATCCTTGTACACACACATTCTAGTTCAATCATTTTCTTTCTAAGATGGTATCAGGGCAGGTTAGATCCCGCCCTAGCCCGCTCACGCTTCCGCCCCTACGCTCCTAGCTGGCCCCCTGGCCGTCGCGCTCGTCCCTAGCCGGCCCCCTGGCCGTTCGCGCCTGTCCCAAGCCGGCCCCCTGGCCGTTCGCGCCCGTCCCTAGCCGGCCCTCTGGCCGTTCGCGCCCGCCTCTGGCCGGCCCCCTGGCCGTTCGCACCCTCCCCTAGCCGACACACCCGCCGTCGCGGCCGCCCCTAGCTGTCGTCGCGGCCGTTTCCAGCCGGCTCACGGCCGCCCCTCGCCGTCGCAGCCATGTGTAACCATCGTCGTGGCGCTGCCGTCGCAGCCCCATCGCGTAACGTCGACGCCGCACCTCAGCGCCGGCGCTGTGCTGTCAGCACGGCGTCGACGTCCCGCTGTGGCATCGACGCCGCACCATGGCGACGTCATAATCACCCCCTAGGCACCGTGTCATATATAACTTAAATAATATTGACACAACCCCTAGGCTTTATAGTCACACACCCACCCAACACCACATACCACAGACACCCTTACACCCCCATGCTCGTAAGCAGCCGGGCATCTACCCCTCGTGCGTGACGTGGTGACATCCCTACCCGCCGAGAGGCAGCAAAGGCAACGGCCGCGGCTGAGGGCTCTCGGCGGTGTGTCACGGCCCGGCGATGACATGGTAGGAGTCAGCAGCTGCAACAGGAGCAGGAGGAGACGCAGGGGGAAGGGAGAATGGGGGGGGGGGGGGGTGGCGAGTCTTTAGCGACGCGCCATAAATGGCGCGGCGCTTACTGGCGGCAGGACGGCGTCCTTAGCGACGCTCGTGGCCGACGAGCGGGCGGCAGGTCCGGCGGCGCCACAAACATTACTTGGCCGGCCGAAGTCCGAAGACGCCGCTGCTGCAGCATTATGACGTCACCTTTGACGAGTCCGTCTCCTTCTTCCGCCGCTTACGCCACCGAGGTCCCTCGGTTACCCCCCCCTTGTTCCTGGTCACCCCTTCCCCAGTCGTCGCCGCCCCTCCTCCTCCCCCTCCCCGTCCTGCCCCCTCTGGTGTGTCCCACGTCACCCCACTTACGTCGGTTGTACCGGTTGAGGAGTCTACTGACTTTGGTAGTCCTGCGGCGCAGTCCTCGCCGCCTGCCCCTTCTCAGGTGTCCCCTCCTCCGCCGCCTCCGCAGCCGCAGTCGCCACCGCTGTCGCAGCCGTCGTCACCGCCACCGCCGTCGCCGCAGCCGTCGTTGCGACCGCCGCCGCCGCATCCGTCGCCGCAGCAGTTGGTTGCCTCTGGGGGTGCTGGAGTTGGGGTGGGTACTAGTCATGGGACTCCTGTCGTGGCTTGTCCCGGTGGGCCTGGGGGTGGTACCGGTGCTCGAGGGGTTCTGAGCTCTGGGGGTGTTTCTTCTGGGGGTGCTGGTGTAGAGTGTTCTGGAGGTAGCCGCCCGGCAGCTTGCGGTCCCGGTGTCGGCGTCACACCGCCGTCACAGCAGTCCCCGCCGGTGTCCGCTCCTCGCCTGCTCGGCCTTCCGTCCCCTGACCCCGTGCCCGTGCCTCCTCCTCCTCATGCCCCGGCCCTGTGTTCCCTCCTCCGGACGCGTCTCCGGACCGTTTCCCCCCTCGTTCCCCTCCTGTGTCCCCTCCTTTGTCTCCTGACTTGACTCTCCCGTCTCACGTCTGGACTCGCCGTCCCTCCCGTGCTCGACCTGTCTCCCCTGTCTCGCACTCTCACCCTACGTTGCTTCGTTCCCACGCGTCTCGTCCTCCCCTTCTCCCGTCGCCCCCTCCGTCCTCCCTTGTCGTTGCTCCCCTCCCACTGTCTGACTAACTGCGTGCCGCTCGTCCTCTTGTTCCTCGGGTCCTTGCCTCTCTCGTTACCGACCCGACTGTTCCGGTTTCGAGCCTTGACGCCCTTGTTGCTGCGGTCGCGGACTTCGCATCTACCCGCCGCCTTGACTATGGCACCGCTCTGGTCTCTGACCCTGCCTGTCCTCCGTCTGTCGGGGGTGCTCCTGCCCTTGGCAGTGACGTCCTGGAGGACCGCCAGTACGAGCTTGCTTTCCTGTCCGAGGCTGCTCCCCATCTCTGTTCCATGCTTCTAGTCCCTGAAGGTAACCCCGATGCTTTCGACATCGCGACCCCTCGCACTTACGCTGAGGCGGTCTCGGGACCCTGGGCCTCTCAGTGGATAGCTGCTATGGAGCAGGAGATGGCATCTTGGAGATCCACCGGCACCTACGTCGACGCAGTTCCCCCACCTGGGGTGAACGTAGTTGATGGCCGATGGCTCTTCAAGGTGAAGCGCCCACCTGGAGAGCCGCCTGTGTTCAAGGCGCGCTACGTGGCTAGAGGTTTCAGTCAGCGTGAGGGGGTGGAGGCCTTCCAGACCTTCGCTCCGACCCCGAAGATGACTACTCTTCGGGTGCTACTACACGTAGCAGCGCAGCGTGACTACGAGCTTCAATCCCTCGACTTCTCCACTGCGTTTCTTCAGGGCAGTCTACACGAGCAGGTCTACCTGCATCACCCTCAGGGCTTCACTGGTACCTTCCCTCCTGGGATCAAGTGGCTCCTGCGGCGCCCCGTCTACGGCCTGCGGTAAGCTCCTCGTGAGTGGCACGATACGCTGCGTGCTACGCTTGCTGACCTGCAGTTCTTTCCGTCCTCTGCAGACCCCTCGCTCTTCGTTCGAGCTGGCCAGATTCCGTTCTACATCCTTGTTTACGTAGACGACCTGGTCTTCGCCACGGCAGACAGGGACGCACTGGCTTTCGTGAAGGCAGAGATGCTGAGGAGACACAGACCTTGGAGAACTGCGCCACTACCTTGGCTTGCAGATCTCCAGGGACAGTGCAGCCCACACCATTACTTTGACTCAGTCACACTTGGTGCGCCAGGTCCTTCAGAGGTTTGGCCTTCAGTTCTCCTCCGCACAGCCTACTCCTTTGCCTCTAGACCATAGGCTCTCCGCTCCAGTTCCTGAGGAGTCAGCAGAGCCCAGTGGTCCTTACGGAGAGCTGGTGGGTTGCCTCATGTACCTGACTACTTGCACGTGCCCAGATCTCGCATACCCTCTCAGCATCCTGGCTCACTTTGTGGCCACAGGCAGACACCGACCTCAGCACTGGTCTGCCGCTAAGAAGGTTTTGCGTTATCTTGCAAGTACATCGGGCATGGGGTTAGTGCTAAGAGGTCGTAGGCCAGTGGTCCTTACTGGACACACAGACGCTTCTTGGGCAGACGACTCCGAGACCCTTAGGTCCTCACAGGGCTACTACTTCAGCTTTGGTTCAGGTGCCGTCTCGTGGAGAGCTACCCGCTCCTCGTCTGTTGCCCAGTCCAGCTGTGAGGCCGAGATCTACGCCAGTGCCATGGCGGCACAGGAGCTCCGCTGGCTGACCTTCTTGCTCACTGACTTAGGTGAGCGGCCTAGCTCTGCCCCGGTCCTGTACACTGAGAACAGGGCCATGATCCTCCTGTGTTAGGAGCCTCGACTCGATGGCAGAGCGAAGCACATTCATCTGCGGTACTTCCTCTTGCGTGAGCTGCAGCAGCGTCGCCAGGCGCGCGTAGTGCACTTGGCCTCCGGTGCCAACACAGCTGATATCTTTATGAAGGCGCTTGCGCCTAAAGATCATCTGCGGCACTGTGTACAGCTAGGTCTCGTTCCTGTAGCCTCTCACTTGCTAGGGCCTTGACTTTGTACTGTCCTTTATATATATTTTTTACCCAGACAGCCCGTGTGGCCTCTCCCAGTGGCTGGACTAGTAGTGCCGCCCTGGGCTTGCTCTTGCCTTGTCTGTACTCCTTTTGACTGGTCTTTAGACCCTTGTCTCAGAGGCTGGACTAGTAGTGCCGCCCTGAGCTGCTTCTTCCCTTGTTAGGCACTGCCCCTATATAGTCTAGGGGGTGTGTCAAATGTAACTTAGGTTGTTACTATAGACTATACTGTGCCTTAGAGGGTACTGTTGTGCTATAATTGATACTTAGCATTGCTGTAATTCGATTAAGTGTAGTTAGTGTCGAATCATACTGTAGAAGATAAGTCCGTAGGATGACGTCAGCAAATAGCGCTCGTCATACGACAGTCGTTTCAGTCACGCGAATAGTCGCACCTCTTCATTATCATCTAGGGCGTATTGCGGGATAGTGACGAACAGGTACATTAGCGAATAGGTACTTTTCCTAGAACTATAAATCCTTGTCAGGTCTTTTTATTATTAACTTTGATTACACACAAGTTCACGTACTCAGGTTATTCAACCTTGACCTTTACATTTTACAAGACTTCCGCTGTCTTACTAGTCTACCATTCCAGCAAAGATCCTGGACCAACACTTGAGGATTTGCCAAGTGTTCGTGTTTATAGTCTTATACTCAGTCTACTACAACATCAGACGTTTTATTTCATGGTATGACAGCTATCTGGAATTAAGACTACCGTCAACTATGACTGGTTCATCACCAGCACCATCTGCTGGATCAGTTACTAGAACTACTGGAGCACATGCCTCCACTACCGCCGCTGGTCTCTCAGCCTCTGGGCACTTTCCACCAGCCTACGCTAATATCGGTATTCAGAATCCGCCTTCTGTAAATACTCCAGGTGCTCCATCGACTGCACCTACAACGCAACAACAACAATCACAGACAGCAGCACATCAACAAGCGTCAGTACAGCCACCAGTTTCAACGCAATCTATTTCATCTGCGTTCAGTGGAATGAGCCTTGACGGCTCAAGTTACATGCGTGGAGCTACACCTCCAAGTACTGGTTCGTTTGCTTTCTCACCTTTCGTACAGCAGCCGCAGTCGCAGCAGTTTCAGCATCCCTTCTATATCTTCGGTCGTTCCCCTGCTCGGCAACAACAACAGCAGTATCAGCAACCACAGCAAGTACAGCAACAGCAACAGCAACAACAACAACAACAACAACAACATCAACAACAGCAACAGCAACAGCAACAACAGCAACAGCCAGGCATCGTTTTCCAGCCTCCAAATTTACTTAATAATACACAGATCAAGACAACCGTACCTTTTAATGGTGTTGACTTCTACTCTTGGAGCTTTGAGTTTGAACTTCTGGCGCAGTCTGCTGGGTTATGGCCGTTCTTCACTGGTGAATTTACGTACCCTGTCGTGGGAACACAACCGGAGCAGCAAAGTTTTTTGCACGCCTCTCTCGGGGCGTATACAGTTCTTGTACGGAACTTGTCGCCGAAGGAGCAGCTCGGCGTTCGATCATTTCACTCAAGTTTCACACCAGCCGAAACTGCATGGAACCATCTGAAAGGGGTATACATGGCAAAGGATACGATAACAGTGAGTAAAATACTTTCGCAGTTAACAAGTGTGCAGATGATGACAAATGAGAACGTCATGGATTACGTCAACCGCGTCCGTACACTACGCGATCAACTGGAGAAAAGTGGGGGATACTTCCCTCGTGAGATGTATCTCACTGTACTTCTGGCTGGTCTTGGACCCGAATGGCGACAGACGCGCGCCTTCCTGCGCATGAATCCTAATCTCTCCGAAGCCGAAATTTCTTCTTATCTTCGAGCAGAGCAGGAAGATCTTGACCTGCAATCACAACGAAATCAGAAAAAGGGGCTTCATTTAAGTTTTTACTCCAATCCAGAACAACAGCATCGACATCCACCAAAGTATCCATTCTGCCACTTCTGTAAGAAACCAGGACATACTTACCAAAACTGTCGCAGCCGTCATCAAACTCGTCGCAGCACTTCACAGCCGTATCACCGATCGCAGCAGTTACCGAAGACACCACAGCCACAGCAGCAGTTAACGTCTCAGCAGCAGCAGATGCCGAAACCGCCGCAGAATTCATCAACGTCGCAGCACCGCCCGCCGGTCTTCGCATCTGCCACATCAGGAAAAGGAGTTTTTGGTTGTGTTACAACGGTTGATATTTCAGAAACAGATTTCGAGACACGTCTTGAAGAAACCACAAGTGCTGAAGGCATTCCTTTACCTCAAGTTTACGCTAACCTCGCTCGAATCATTTCAGGTCCGAATACCTGGTATCTTGACAGTTGCTGCGGATGGCACATGTGTTCAGCAGAAACAAGCTTCATTACCAATCAGCGTCCACTTCGTCGCCCGATACCTTTAACAGTCGCAAATGGACAAACTATTATGGCACGAAAAGTTGGAAGTGTCATGTTCGAATCTATCGACACGGGATACTCACTTCATGTTACTAATGTTCTTATCGTCGTGGGTCTTGGCTTCAACCTTCTTTCCACGGCTCAACTCCTAGCACACAAAATCCGCACACAAGGCAATTGTGACACGATGGATCAGGAGCTCTGGCACAGTTCGACAAATACTTACTGTATCTTGGTCGTGCCGCCACTCAACATGGCGTATCTGTTCTTCAGTTCGCAGTACAAGGAACTTCTGGAGATTCTGAACGTGTGCTTGCACTTGGTCTCTGGGATCACCCAAAAGAAACAGATTATCAACACGTGGACATTGACTTTCAAGCAACAACTGTACCAACAGCTTCTCGAACTGCAGCCGCCGTACTTACCGCAATGGATACCTGGGAGTTCAATACCGCCGATGAAAGTGCCACCGCGTGGCGAACATTTTATAATACCCGTGCAGCCTTCCAAGGGACTCCAGCACCACTTTGGGGAGAGATAAGTGGTCTTGCAGCTGATGAGCCTGACATTGTTGAAGAAGCCGAACAGGAAGAAGTAGCTGAGCAGCAGCGTCCAACAGTAGCTGTCGCCGAAATACTTGCCACGACATCAACAGAAGCAGTGTCAAAAGTTATACCCGCATCTGAAGTAGCACCTTCAAATGTCACGTTACCGCTTACCCGTTTCGTTGAAGGAGACATTGACAAGTCCCCAGCGCTTTCTCCTTTTCTTCTTCCTTCTTTTTATACTAACTCTGATTTTTACCTGCGATCATCAGGACACAAAGCCACAGAAGATATATGGCATCAGCGGTTAGGACATCCATCACAAGGGATTCTTTATCATTCAATCCGAGCAGCAGTTCTTGATAAAAACAATTCACTTTTATCTGGTGGCACGGAGATGAAGCCGCAGTCTCGTCCGACGGTTTGCACCACTTGTCCAGTTGCCAACCTTACGCACGATCCTTTTCCAAGTCATTTTCCTGGCTCAACACGTTATAAACTGATGCAGAAAGTCTACAGCGACATACTCAACTTGTCTGAAGCAGGACCTAAAGTCGAGAAGTATGTAATCACTATCATCGAATTGTCTACACGCTATGTCTGGACAGTAAACTTACCTGCGCGGCATCTCGCTCACTCCGTCTTCGTCGCGTGGCTCGCTGTCGCTGAACGAGAGTCTGGCATGCAAATGCAAGAATTTCAGAGCGATGGTGCAGGAGAGTACACCAGTAGCACCTTCATAGAGTACCTACAGACACTCGGCATCAAACGGAAGCAGTCTCTGCCTCATGCACACCAACAGATGGGGGTAGCAGAAAGGATGAACAGAACTCTGCAGGAGAAGATGCGTGCTCTGCTGACGCAGGCAGCCCTTCCACCGCATTTCTGGCCGTATGCGATGGACCACGCCGTGCTCTTGCACAATCTTCTTTCTTCAACATCTCTGCCCGAGTTCTCTTCTCCGCACCTGCAGTGGACACGTACAGTTGGGAGTACAAAACTTTTACGAGTTTTTGGGTGTGTTGTACAGTTTCGTCCTCCAATTGCAGCTCTCGGCAAATTTTCCGAATGAGCAAAATGGGGGGTACATCTTGGCATCGAAAAACAGTATCACGCGTGGAAGATTTTGGATCTTCGCTCCCATCAAATCGTTCCATCATGTGATTGTCTTTTCTATGAAAGACTCACCTTGCCCGTTTTTCGTGCCCACCAAGCAGCAGCTGCCAATCATGCCAGGCTGTTCGAAGGCTCGCGTGCATTTGCAACTGACGAAGCCGAAGCTGATGTTCAGGACGAGGATGTTTCTGAAGCATCCGAAGCTGCCGCAACAGACATTCCCGAACCTGTTACCTCGACCGGCATACCTGAATTAATTCCTCTTGCAGATGCTGACCAAGATGATGTTCGCGAAGTTCATCTCAGTTATGAACGCGATCGCCAACAGCAGCCGATGTCCGTCGTCTCCGACGAAGCAGTTCGTGTTACACCTGACGAAATTGGGGGGGAAGAAGGACCAGAAGAAAATTTCGCAGGTGCAAACGAAGAACGTCCTCTCTTTACAGAAACAGGATTACAGATACTAGCGTTCGTAGTCGCAGTACAGTACAACGACAGTAAAATACCTGAACTGAAAACCTTTCGACAAGCTCTTACGAGTCCTCACCGAGAAAAATGGCGCAAAGCCATGGACAAGGAGCTAGGAGCACTCAAGAATCGTGGCATGTGGGATTTAATACCGACATCAGAAGTAAAAGGGAAGAAGGTACTTATCGGAAAATGGGTCTTCCGCGTTAAGACTAATGCAGATGGGTCGTTTGAGAAATTCAAGGCGCGATGGGTCGTCCGCGGGTTCGAACAGACTTACGGCATCGACTACGATTTAACGTTTGCTCCTGTCGGCCGACATACAAGCATTCGGATACTACTCTGTGTCGCCGCCTGCCGCAATCTCCGACTTCGACAAATCGACGTGTCAAATGCGTTTCTCTACGCGCCTGTTGACGCACTTATCCTGGTAGAGTACCCGCATTCCTATACTACTAACCCACCGAGCGTTTGCCGTCTCCGAAAATCTCTATACGGCATTAAACAGGCACCACGGCTCTGGCAGCAGTATCTCCACTCACAACTGATCACTGCTGGTTTTCGTCAACTACCGCATGACCAGGGAATGTATCTACTGACCGACGGCAACAACTATATTTTACTCGTCGCCTACGTCGATGACATCCTATTCGTCAGTACTACCGATTCCCTTGCCGACATCTTCATACTGAAATTACAGAAAACTCTACAGCTTACCGTCTCCAAAACAGTCTCACAGTTTCTCGATCTGAACATTACCTGTTCACCGACGACTATTCACCTTACCGCTTCGAAGTATGCAGCAACACTCGCTGCCCGCTTCAACCTCACACCTACTGCAGTCTCTACACCGTACCGCTCCCTACCGATTGACTACAAACCGAACACCGCACTGTTAACTTCAACCGGTTTACAGATCTATCAACAGCAGCTAGGCTGTCTACTCTTCGCAGCTGTCACTTGTCGTTCGTGATCTAGCCTACGCGGCCAGTCAGCTCGCTCAGTTCCTACGCCGTCCTGAGGAGGAACATGAGCTTGATCATCTCCGCGCGCTTCAGTATTTCATCTCGACACCTGACGTCGGTCTAGTATACAACGTCATCAGTTCTAAAACTCTCTATCTACATGGTTTTGTCGCCGCCGATCACGCTGCTGATTCTACTCATCGACGATCACGCACTGGATTCATCTATCGACTTGAACCTATTGGGCCTATCTCTTGGAATTCGACGAAGCAGGAGTTGATTGCTCTCTCCTCTGCTGAAGCTGAGTTTATTGCTGTCTGTACAGCAACACGCGAAGGACTTTACCTACATGAACTATTGGAAGAAGCGAAGTTGACGACAACTACCCTGTTTACCCTACAGTGCGATAATCAAAGTGCAATTCGCATCGCACATCAACCTGGTTTCGTCAACAGGACGAAGCATATTTCGCTTCGTTATTTTTTCGTCAAAGATGAAGTCGAGAAGGGGAGAATGCGATTGGTGTACTGTTCGACCAACGCAATGGCTGCCGATTTTCTCATGAAAAAAGCTGACACGACAGAAGTTTCAGTACTGTAACAAGCTCTGCGGAATCTTCAAGAAGTGGCACTATCGAACTTCCAGAAATGAAGGGGAGTGTTGTGATATAATTGATACTTAGCATTTCTGTAAGTCGATTAAGTGTAGTTAGTATTGAATCATACTGTAGAAGATAAGTTCGTAGGATGACGTCAGCAAATAGCGCTCGTCATAGGACAGTCGTTTCAGTCACGCGAATAGTCGCACCTCTTCATTATCATCTAGGGCGCATTGCGCGATAGTGACGAACAGGTAAATTAGCGAATAGGTACTTTTCCTAGAATTATAAACCCTTGTCAGGTCTTTTCACTATTAACTTTGATTACACACAAGTTCACGTACTCAGGTTATTCAACATTGACCTTTACATTTTACAAGACTTCCGCTGTCTTACTAGTCTACCATTCCAGCAAAGATCCTGGACCAACACTTGAGGATTTGCCAAGTGTTCGTGTTTATAGTTTTATACTTAGTCTACTACAACATCAGACGTTTTATTTCAGGTACAACACCCTAGTCTATATATCATTGTACACACATTCTAGTTCAATCATTTTCTTTCTGATAGAAACATGTTGCGAACTCGCTAATTCAGATTGTTTTTATCGTGTCACTGACCGTACATGTTATCGAGGCCCTGCGCCAATATACTTTCCCATGATTTAAACAGAAATCTATCATACAATTCTTATAAAACGCATATATATAGTTTGTGTTTCATTAGAGAATAGTCTGTCATTTGATTGTGACACACATGGTAAGAAAACAAATTGCCATAAAGAGATAGCTTTATAAAAATGTTTGAATTGAACATTTTATCACTGCTTTTTGCATTAAAGTGCTCCGCAACCCTAAGACGACTTCGTCTCTTGTTTTTTTCCAGTACGACCCGCTCTGAAATGACCAGCGACTTGCCAACCCTCACAGACGATCTCCTCCCCCGCATTTTCCGCGCCCTCGCGTCGCACGGCGACTATTTCAGCCATGGCCTCGTGTGCCGGCGATGGTACTGCCTCGCTCGCTCCGCTCAGAGCCGTGTACGCGTTAAAAGCAACAGCGGTATTCCGTCTCGTCTCATTCACCACGCGCTTTCGCGATTCCCGTCGCTCTCCGAGTTAGACCTGCCGGGTGGAAGCGTCTATCCTGCCGACGACCGTCTGATTCACAGCCTTGCCACGTCAGCGCTGAGTCAGCGTCTGTGTCGCCTGCATTTGGTATTCAAAGGGCGGAGCTGTACCAATCTAGAATCGCCTCACTCGGCGACTCCTGCATCAGCTCGCAGCACCGAAGCCGCGTTTCACCGCCTTTTCTCCAGCTGTACGCGATTGACGCATCTCAATTTACAGTCTAAAAGCTCCTCCGTGACGCTTCCCCCATCCATCGCAACGCTGACCAGCCTTACGCACCTTCACCTCGATTTCGCCTTCTCCTCTCTCCCTTCCAGCGTCTTCGCCTCTCTCACGCTGCTCCAAACCCTCGAGCTTCGCTCCCGTAATCTGCAGTCCCTACCAGACACTCTCGGGCAGCTGAAGAAACTCTGCGAGTTGACCGTGCAGTGCACTGCCTTGGAGGCTCTTCCGGAATCAATTGGAGAACTTTCTTTTCTGACCCGGGTAGAGCTGCTCGAGTGCTGTCGCCTGCAAGAACTGCCCGAATCCCTCTGCACCCTCCCAAACCTCTCCCATCTGAATATACAAAATTGTGATTCGCTCATCTACCTGCCCGAGGATTTCGGGCAGCTGCAATCCCTCCGCTGCCTCAAGCTCTCTTGCTACTCCGCGGATTTCAGCCTTCCAGAATCCTTTTTCCTCCTCTCTAACCTCCAAAACCTCGAAATTTCCTTCTCCTGGTGCCAATGGCCATCCTCGTGCCTCATCTCCTTCCCTCGCCTCGCGTCTCTCACTCGCCTCTCCCTCCATGGCATGTTCGTCCGCTCCCTCCCTCCCGCCCTCCTCCAACCCCCCTCCCTCCGCATCCTCACCCTCTCCTCCCTCCACCTCCTCACCGCCTTCCCTCACTCTCCCGGGCAGCTTGAAAACCTTCGCGAGCTGACCGTCAGCGACTGCGAGAAACTGGAAACCCTTCCTTCCTCGCTCTTCTCCTCCTCCCCCAACCTCGCCTCCCTCACCCTTTCAGCCTTACCCAAATTGGCATCACTGCCAGAGTTTCTAGGCGCTCAGTCAAACCTGCACCAGATACACCTGGATCATTGCTCCAGTCTCTCACACCTGCCCGCCTCTCTCTCCTCGCTCTCCTCTCTCCGCCGTCTCTCCATCCGCCACTGCCCCTCCCTCGCTGCCCTGCCCCACGGGATCGCCGTCCTCCCCTCGCTCCAGTCGCTCGATTTAGTCACACTCCCGGGCGTCACTTCCCTGGAGCCTGTGTTTCTTGGTCGCGGAGTACCAGCGCCACCAGCGCCTGCTGGCAGGCCGTCAGGGGGAAGGGGATGGGGAAGAGGCTGTGAAGGCCAGCAGCAGCAGCAGCAGCAGCAGCAGCAGCAGTGTTGTCATTCGTTGGCTCGTGGCATGACGGATGATAGTCTAAACGGAATCCAGCATATTCCATCCCTGGAGTCTCTTAGGATCATCTCCTTACCATCAATTTCTTCCCTTCCTGAACCCTTCGGGCAGCTACCAAAACTACGCAAGCTCGTTCTACAGGCCTGTGGCAACCTGTTCAAGCTCCCCCATTCAATTTCAGGTCTGGGCAGTCTCCACTACCTCCACATCAGCAACCTTGGAAAACTTTCCACCCTGCCCGAGGACATCGGGCAGCTGCCCGCTCTTGAAACCCTTCTTCTGGAAGATCTCCCTGCACTCGCCCACCTGCCCGCCTCCCTCTCTCTCCCTCCCCTCACCTCCACCTTGCAATTCCTCCACCTCCCCCTCCTTCTGACGCCCTCGCGGGCTGAAGCGGACACAGCAAGCTGCTTTGACGTGGTTAGAGGTGTGGTGCCAGGCCTTGAAAGTCTCGTGCTTCACGGCAGTTACAGGCGCACGGTTACCAGTCCAACGGGCACGAGCAGCAGCACCAAGGTTACCGGCGAGGGAGGAGCGAGCAGCCTGGTTTTGAGCGGTGCACACGACCCTTCAGACGACCCTTCAGGCGGTGCTGCTGGCGGTGATGTTGGAGTGGACTGGCCGCTGCTGAGTGGTCAGCACGCACCAAGCATTGTTGCTGCCGTATCAAGTGTTGCGCAGGGGTGGGCACAGCAAGTGGAGCAGCTGACGCTCCAAGTGGGGCACCTCTCTCACCATGCACTCCTCGCCCTCGCCTCCTCCCTCCCTCGCTCCATCTCCCATGCGGCTCCCGGTGATGTGGCTAATCTTACTAGCAGGGAGGGCGCATGTGCTGCAAGAGTCAGGAAAGCAAGTGTTTGTGTAGCAATTGACGGTGGTTCACGGCCAGGTGCCGCCGTTGCAGCTGACGCCAACAGCCACCACAAAGCTGCCCTCATTCCGCATATTCCTGATGACCTGTTTCTCTCGCCACTCGCCCCAAGCACCCTGCGTTCCCTGCACCTGCACTCGTGCCACCACCTGCTGCATCTGCCCTCCTCCCTTCCCTCCCTCCCCCACCTCCGCCTCCTCTCGCTCTCCAACTTGCCCCACCTCACCTCCCTCCCCCCCTCACTCCACCTCCTCGTGTCCCTCACTCGTCTCCAGCTCACGGACTGCACTGCGCTCACCCACCTGCCCGCCTCTCTTTTTCGCCTGCTTGAATTGGAACGGCTCGTTCTGATTCGCTGCTACAGCCTTGTCTCCCTGCCCACCGTCCCCACCAGCACCGAGTCCTGCCCTCATGCTAAAGCTACTGATGCTTTGTTAAGCGCGAGTTGTAGCAATGTCAACCCTTCAAGCCCCATCGTCTTTAAGTTACGTGTTTTGCACATCGGGGATTGCTACATGATGACCGAGCTCCCGCCAAGTGTAACAATGTTACAGGGGCTGGAGAGAGTAACGGTGGATGGGTGCTTCAGGATCCAACGGCTGCCTGAGGGGATGGAGCAGTTGCCTTGCTTGAGGAGTCTGGTGTGGAATGGAAGCAATGTGCTGTGGCGGGGATAAGGTAGCAGAGGGTCCTATGTGTTTGAGAACGGCCCAGCATAAAGTGAGAACCCTGGCTAGAGCATACACGTTAGTCACAGGCATCATCGGCAGTGTTTGTCCCAGGGGGTTTGAGGTTGCATGAGTCTGAATGTTGGAGTGTGACAATGGCTTTGTTGCGAGCAGCTGCCAGAGTTCACATCAGGACCTCAGATTGCAGGCTTTTTTACCCTGATTCAGGGTAAAATCAGGGTTTCTTTGGGGGGGTGTGTCAAACATATGTGTGTATGTTTAGTAGACTACATAGGGTCATGCCATAGAGAGTACAACCCACTAGCTATATACCCCTGTATACTCCCATTCTACTCAACAATTCTAACACAGATGGAATCATGAGTAGGTTAGGTCTCCCCCGCCCACCCGCGCTTCCGCCTTAGGTCCTAGCCTGCCCCGTCGCCTAGCGCCTAGCCGCCCCACTGACCCCGTTGTCCCGTTGCCTAGCCGCCCGTGGCCCCGTTGCCCCGCCACCTAGCGCCCCGCCGCCCCGCTGGCCCCGCAGCCCCGTCACCTAGCGCCTAGCCGCCCGTGGCCCCGTTGCCCCGCCACCTTGCCCCTAGCCGCCCCGCTGGCCTCGCGGCCTCGTCACCTGCGCCTAGCCGCCCTGCCGCCCCATCGCCTAGCCGCCCCGTCGCCTAGCCACCCCGTGGCCTAGCCGCCCCATCGCCTAGCTGCCCCGCACCTAGCCGCCCCGCGGCCTCGTCGTCCAGCCGCTCCGCGGCCCTATCGCCCTGCTGATCCGCGGCCCCGTCGCCCAGCCGCACCGCGGCCCCGTCGCCCGGCTGCTCCGCGGCACCGTTGCCCAGCCGTCCCGCGGCCTCGTCGCCCCGCTGCTTCGTGGCCCCGTCGCCCAGCCGCCCTGCGACCCGTCGCCCCGCTGCTCCGCGGCCCCGTCGCCCAGCCGCCCCGCGGCCCCGTCTACCAGCTGCTCAGCCGCCGTGTTTCCCGCTTCACCAGCCCTCTCCACCGTCGTGCACCGCGCCCCACCGTGCTGTACCTCTCACACTATGTTACTTCGCCCCCACGCGTCTCGTGCTCCTTCGCTCCTCCCGTCTCCTCCTCCGACGTCGCTCGCTGTGGCCCCGCCTCTGTTTTCTGACTTCCTCCGTGCCGCGTGTCCCCTTGTTCCTTGTGTCCTTGCGTCTCTTGTTACCGACCCGTCCATTCCTCTCTCAAGTCTGTCGGCTCCTGTTGCTGCTGTCACTGAAATCTCCACAGCTTTCCTCCAGAGCAGTCTACACGAGCAGGTCTACCTTCGCTGCCCCTAGGGTTTCTCCGGTGCCTTTCCCCCTGGTACCGAGCGGCTCCTCCGGCGCCCCGTCTACGGCCTACGCCAGGCACCCCATGAGTGGCACGACACGCTGCGTGCTACTCTAGCTGACCCACAGTTCTTCCCGTCATCTGCAGACCCCTCGCTCTTTGTCCATTCCGGCCAGACTCCGTTCGACATCCTTGTTTACGTATACGATCTAGTCTTTGCTACTGCAGACAGAGACGCACTGGCCTCCGTAAAGGCCGAGGTGCTAAGGAGACACACTTGTACTGACCTAGAGGAGTTGCGCCGCTACCTTGGCTTGCAGATCTCCTAGGACAGAGCAGCGCGCACCATCACTCTCACACAGTCATACTTGGTGCGCCAGGTCCTTCAAAGGTTCTGCCTTCAGTTCTCTTCCGCACAGCCTACCCCTTTGCCAGTAGACCACAGACTCTCCGCTCCAGTCTCGGAGGAGGCTGTACCACCTAGTGGTCCTTACGCAGAGCTGGTGGGTTGCCTCATGTACCTGATGACTTGCACTCATCCAGATCTCGCATACCTTCTCAACATCCTGGCCCGCTTTGTGGCCTCTGGCAGACACCGCCCACAGCACTGGTCTGCAGATAAGAGGGTTTTGCGATATCTAGCAAGTACATCGGGCATGGGGCTAGTGCTAGGAGGACGCAGACCAATGGTCCTTACCGGGCACACAGACGCTTCTTGGGCAGACGACGCCGAGACTCTCAGGTCCTCCCATGGCTACTGCTTTAGCCTTGGTGCAGGTGCTGTCTCGTGGAGATCCACCCGCTCGTCGTCTGTTGCCCAGTCTAGCTGTAAGGCTGAGATCTACGCCGGTGCCATGGCGGCACAGGAGCTCCGTTGGCTGACTTAGGTGACCAGCCTAGCTTTGCCCCGGTCCTGTACGCTGACAACAGGGCCATGACCCTTTTGTGTCAGGAGCCCAGACTCGAGGGCAGAGCGAAGCACATCCAGCTACGGTACTTCCTCCTGCGCGAGCTACATCAGCGTCGCCAGGCCCGCGTAGTACATGTGGCCTTCGGTGCCAACACATCTGATATCTTTATGAAAGCGCTTGTGCCTAAAGATCATCAGCGGCACTGCGTACAGCTTGGTCTCGTTCCTGTAGCACCTCATTTGCTAGGACCTTGATTGTGTTTAATTCTTCATATATTATCCTGACTGGCCTTGTGGCCTTTTCCCAGTGGCTGGACTAGTAGTGTCGCCCTGGTCTTGTTCTTGCCTTGTTTGTACTCTTTTGACTGGTCTTTAGGTTCGTGCCTCTGAGGTTGGTCTAGTAGTGCCGTCCAGAGCTGCTTGTCTCTCACCAGGCTCTGCATCTATCTAGTCTAGGGGGTGTGTCAAACATATGTGTGTATATTTAGTAGACTACATAGGGTGATGCCATAGAGAGTACAACCCACTAGCTATATACCCCTGTATACTCCGATTCTACTCAACATTTCTAACTCTCATAGGGTGACTTTGATGCGACAGGGTTTTGTTTTAACACAGGCTTGAAATTTCAGCGTTTTCTTAAAAGTGAAACCTGATCGATCAGCGTGACTAGCGTAGTAGTGAGGCATGTTTTTCCAGCGTCATATTGGGTGTTGGAGTTATGGGAATATTTTGTTAAATTAAATAGGTTATATATAATTGTAGGCTTGGTAGGTGTTACTGAAACCTACAGTAGAGGGTACAACCCCCTCCTTGTCTCTCTCTCTTCCTAATCAAGCCTCTTTCCTCTCGACATTTTTCTCGACTTCCTAAACCCTCCTACTTTCATGGCTTCATAGCTTACTTAGTTTAGCATGGTACCAGAGCAGGTTGCCCCTCCCGGGCCAGCTCCACACACTTCCGCCGCGTACTCGCCCTTCTCTCGTCAATTCCGTGCCGCCGTGGCGGCCACGCAGAGCTGCCATGGCAGCTTCGTCGTGCTGCCGTCGCAGCCTCGACGCGCTGCCATGGCTTTGACGCCACGTCGTGACGACGTCGTCGTGCTGCCGTGGCAGCGTCGACGTGCCGCCGCGGCATCGACGCCGCGCTGTGGCGGCGTCGTCATGTTGCCGTGACAGCATCATCGGGCGGCATCGTCGCCGTGCTTTGGCGGCGTCGTCATGCTGCCTTGGCGGCATCGTCGAGCGGCAGCGGGCCGAGCGACGTTTTAGGCGCCGCCAGCTCGCTCGCACATCACCCAGCGCCGTGTCAGCCACGGCGCCTTGCTGACGCCATGCCACCTCCCCTGCACCACCCCTAGTTCCAGCCGCAAATGCTGAGTCTCTTCTCGGTCGTAGCCGGGCCGTGCCATGCTGCCGGGCGCTGCGAGTTTCGCCGTCGCCGCCGCCGTCGCTGCCGCCGTCGTCGACGCTGCCGCCGCCATCGCCGCCGCCATCATCAACGCTGCCGCCGCCACCGCCACCACTGACGCCGTTGCCACCACCCACCGGGGGTGTCATCGCCTCGCACGAGGGGTAGCAGCCCCTCCTGCTGCAGGACCTGGGGGGTGCACGGGCTTGGGGGTGTTCGGTGTTGGGTGCGCTCGAGACTACCAAGCCTAGGGGGTATTTAGGTTATATATAATTGTAGGCTTGGTAGGTGTTACTGAAACCTACTGTAGGGTACAGCCCCCTCCTTGTATGCCTCTCTCTTCCTAATCAAGCCTCTTTCCTCTCGACATTTTTCTCGACTTCCTAAACCCTCCTACTTTCATGGCTTCCTAGCTTACTTAGTTTAACATATTTAGGTTGCTCTAATAAATGTACATATAGCTGATTGACTACAAGTTTGGTAGTGTAGAGTACTTTGGTTGGGTGGGTTATGAATGCTTCTAGAGGGCAAACTCCTACCGTAAACGCCCGGATATACAGTGGCGGAAACAATTGTCCGTATATTTTGCATTAATTTGTGTTTTTATGTTTTAAGACCACTATACATTAAGCCTTAATGCTTAATGGTGGTACGATTTGGGAGGGGCACATAGTGGATGTGTTCATAGCACAAATATCTGGAATAGTACATTGGATCTAACTCATATCCCAAAAGATATACAAAGGGTACATCCGGACAAATAGTTTTAAGCAAAGAGAGCCGACTTCAAAAGTGTGTTTCTAGTTCCTAGCCCACCGACCTTTGGCCTTGATAACCGCCTGCACCCTCCTAGACTAGCTGCCGATGAGGCTTGAGCAAACCACGGTATGGATCTTCTCCCATTCTTCCTGGACCGGCAATTAAAGCTCCAGCATTCTAGAGGAAGGCCTTTTATGCTTGGCTAGCTCCCTTTTCAGGTAAGCCCAGAGATTGAGGTTTGATGAGAAAGAAGGCCACTCCAGGGCTACATACTCATGTTCTCCAAGTCATTCATGCACTAGGCATAACAAATTCTTAGGGTCATTGTCCGCACCGAGATGACCTCAGAGGGGAAAGTGCTATAAAAATGGAGGGTCAATTCGAGTTCATCATGCAAAATGTCCTCATACACGGGCCTCGCCATACGTCCGTCAATCTTGCGTATGAACCCCACCCCCGCACATGTCATACATCCCCACACCATCACTGACCCTTGTCCCCATGGTTTACCGTCTGTTTGATTTGGTGGTGTTGCAGGGTTGTGCCTTCACGAATCCAGGAAAACGCACGGCCATTGGATCTGAAGCAGTTGATGCTGGTCCCATTTGACCAGATCACATGCTTTCAAACACTAATTGTCCACTCAGCATGCGACTCCAGAAATTGCAGCCGGCCCTGGATATTTTTCCAGATCAGTCATGGCTTCTATGAGTGCTACACCGTGACTAGATCCGCAGACCCTAGTGCGTTTACAATGGTGCAAGGGTGCACATTCAACCGTGCAACGTTACCCTCAGTTTCGCGGTGTCTACGCTAGATTTGGCCGCTCTATTCGTGATTTTACCCTACAATGGTACGACGAAGACAATCCGTGATAAGATGGGCCCAACTGGCTTATTGCATCTTTGGCCACACCTCAGCATGGCTAGTCTTAGAGATACCATTCAATCCAAAATCGTCCA